CTAGGGGTGGGTATACGGACCGGTCCGGCCCGTTTAAGGCCCGGTCCGTAAAACCCGCGTTTTATACGGGCCGGATAAGTCCGGTCCGTAAAATAAATGGACTTATTTTTTAAGTCCGTATCCGGCCCGCCAAAATCCGCGGATAACGGACCGGTCCGCGGGCCTAAATAATGGTTCAAAAAAATAAATTTTTAAAAAATAAAAATACATAAAATTAGAAGAAAAAAAATATTTTTTATTTATAAGCTAAATTTTATCATACTAAAATTTATCAATAGTTAAAATGGTTTAAAATACTAAATATTAAAATATTAAAATAAAAATAATTACAAATACTTAAATAATAGTACCAAACTTTCAATAATAAAAGTATCAAAATGTCATAAAAGTAATTCAAATAACAAATACCTACCAACTAAATATAATTTTAATGTCATAATAATTTAAAAAATTAAATACACAACTTAATATTAAAATTATAATATTTAAAAATATTAATTAGTGAAGTACGCGGACTAACCCGCGAGCCCGCAGATTAAATCCGCTAAGTCCGCGGACTTCAGGGTCGGGCTCAAAAATTAGACATAGTCATACAGATTTGAAAAAAACGGGACCGTTATCCGCGGAATCCGTGGATTTACGGACCGGTCCGCGGACCCAGGTCCGTCTACCCACCCCTAATATATATGCTGCTTTTTATACAATTTTTTGTTAATTTATTCTTAATTGAGTTTAATGATTATACATAATTAAAATAAGATAATCAATTAAAAATTATAGTTGATATAATTTTTAAAATAATTATTATATAAATATAGACAGACTTATTATGTAATTTTATTAGTTTGTAATTAAAAAACAGTGTAAAATTATTTTATTTTTTAATATATAATTTATTTTTTCATTAATCAGAAAATAATATAAAAAATAATAATTTTTATCCTTCATATTTTTTGTTTTTTATTTTTTTAAAATTTTAAAATTTTTATTTTGATCTTTTATAGGGCTTTTATTAAATAATAAATTAGTCTTTATATTTTTTTTCTCTAACAATGTTAATTATAGTTGTTGTAGCGAATATTTATGCAATGAGGCATTTTTCATAATTATCACTAAATTGATTAAAATTATTGTGGTAATTGATTAAAGGTCAATTAATTTGAAAGAGACATTTTAAAGATCAATTGAATTATATTCAAAGGTTGAACAGAAAATAAAATGAAATTGTGAGGACTAAAAATAAATCTAATTAATGTTTTGTTGAATATCTTTATTTATTTACTTTTTCTTTTAGCTCACTCCCTCGGGTTCTCGGTATAAAGAACAAAGAAACTAATTTAAAAAATTGTTTATATTATTTAATTTTACATACTAATCCAATTTAAAAAATAATTTAATTTTCTAAACCGTTCTCCCTTAAAACTTGATATAAGAATAAACAAAACAAAAATAGTGAAAATATAATTTTAATTAAATGAAAAAGAAAATAATATTGTTATTTCTTAGTTTATTTTTTTTGTTAATAGAAGTTGATGAATTTATATATTTGCATGGGAATTGTGTTTTGGTAGGTTTGTTCAGTGCGGGAGAACAAGTCAGATGAGAGGAGGTTCTCGGTGTGTACGGGAACAAAGAAGAGGCTGCATTTGAGGGCGGAGAGCAGGGAAGATAGAGCGACGTGGGTGGAGGCAATAATGGCGGTGAAGGACATGTATCCTCGCTTGCCCAACGCTGAGATCATGTCACCCGTCGCCTCCGTCATCATCTCCACCGAGAGGTTGAAAGACCGTCTCTTACTCGAGGGTGTCAGCGAGGCTGCTATTAAGGAATGTGAGGAAATCATGCAAACCGAATTCTCCCAGTTGCACAAACACATTGTCGCTCTCAAGCAGAAGCAGTTGCTACTCATGGACACATTGCGCCATCTAGAGGTAGGTACTTTACTTAACTACACTTCCGTACTTCATTCCTTAATTTTTATATAACTAATTACTTGCTTCCTTCTGCTGTGTATAGGCAGAGAAGGTTGAGTTGGAGAATGCACTCGTTGAAGACCAAAGGCATTCAAAGGATGGTGATGAAGCAGATCCCTATCAATCAACGCAAGAAAAGTACAGTGGTACGTGTGCAAGTTCATCAGGCTTAGTTTTTCATCTCACCTTTCACATTTCTTTTGCCCATGAATTATAGTACGTATTTTTTTTCTTCATTTTTGTGAATTTTGTTGCTTAATTTTGAAATTACACATTTTGTATGGATCATTATTTAAAAAGCCACGTACCAATAAAACATATGTGTGGTTTATAAATTTACGTTTAGGGTCGCTTCTTTTCCTTTTGCGATGACCTGCGACTTTGTGTGTACCTCTGACAGGAAGTGACGGTGATTCTTCTGATGGGCCCGATAGGCTTGATAACTCTGACGATGAAGAGGACGCATTCTTTGATACATGTGACATTCTTTCAACAAGTTCTGACCATCCCAGATCCTGCCATGATTCAGAATGTGAGGAGACTAATCCAAATGGGATAGGCCATGAAAAATCAGCGATTGGGTCTGTTGGATTTAACTATCCTGAAGTCAAGAGACGAAAGAAGTTGCCTGACCCTGTTGAGAAAGAGAGTAGCGTCAGCCTATGGTCAATCATAAAAGACAACATCGGGAAGGATCTTACGAAAGTCTGTCTCCCTGTTTACTTTAACGAGCCTATCTCCTCGTTGCAGAAATGTTTTGAAGATCTAGAGTACTCTTATCTTCTAGACCAAGCATATGAATGGGGTAAAATGGTTAGTTTAACTTTAATTAATCATATATGCTAAATCTTGTTATGTATGTATATTGGAGTTTTTGGAAGAGATGCCTCACCTCCATGCTACTTATTATGTGCAGGGTAACAGTCTAATGAGGATGCTACATGTGGCAGCATTTGCAGTTTCTGGGTATGCTAGCACCAATGGTAGAAGTTGCAAACCATTTAATCCACTGTTGGGTGAGACATATGAAGCAGATTATCCAGACAAAGGAATTCGCTTTATCTCTGAGAAGGTACAATTCTATACCAATATCATTCTGTTCATGAAAAATGTCGCATTATTATTTGTTCAGGATGAAAAGTAGACTTGAACTCTAATATTATCTGCAGTGAATACTTTTTTTATCCACCAAATATATTTGGGTTTTGATTTCTTTTACTAAAATAAAGTATAGATATATAACAATGATATTCATAATTTCACCGCATTTTGTAACCTATGTTTTTCTAGTTCGTACCATATTATTTATCACTTTTTTTTTCTTTCTGTCTTACAACTTAAAAATGGAGAGTATATACAATGATTTTCCATAGTAGTATGGATCTAGCTATTATAAGTAGAGGTGTTCAAAAAATTATATTAAATTAAATTATTGTAAAAATTAAACTAAACTAGATTATAAAAAATTAAACTAATTTTTATAAAAACTAAATTAAACTATATTTTAAGTTTATTTTTAAAAACTAAATTATTATAAAAAGTAGTTTAGTGCACTTTAATTATTAAAAAAAAGTTATAATTAGAAAATGTTTTAAATAATTAATTAGAACTAAATTAATAAATAACTAAATTGGATTAAAATAGAAAAAAATTGAATTATTTTTTTATAAAAATTGAACTGAAATGAATTTTATGTTCAGGTTTATAAATCTAAAACTATTTTTTAAAAGAATAGTTTGTTAGACCAAATTATTAGTAAAACTGAAATCTTATTATTAATGTCTTTTTCGTAATTTTTTAATTTTGCTTATTGTCCACTTTTGAGTCAATATACTAGTGGTTTAGTGTTATTGTGCACAACTACATATTTTTTATTTATTAATTTACAGGATTAAAAAAAATTAATTTTCATTTATTAATTGAATAAAAATTTATATACTTTTCATAATTATTACTCTTTCAATATTAATATTATAATTTTTTTATTAAAATAATAATATTTTTTAGCATCAAAAATAAAATTATTTGGATAATAAAGAGATAAGTTTGTACATACTTATATATAATGGAATAGGAAGAGGCTGTAACAACCCGGTAGGCAAAGCTTGTTCCACCTTAGCTTGCTGAGACACACTACATTCTCTAATAAGTTTCCTTATATCCTGTTGCATCTTAGGCCAATGAAACTGAGCAGAAATCCTTGCCATTGTCTTAGTAACCCCAGCATGTCCCCCGATCTTAGAAGCATGAAATTCTAGCATTATTTGCTGTTGAAGCTCTCTATTATTAGGAATTTCCAATCTACCTTTCTAGAATATCAACCCATTTTTAACAGAATAAGAAACATCTTTACAGGTACCTTGCAAACACTGTGCATATAGTTCAACCAATTGTTGATCTATTTTAACTAATTCAGCCACCTGTTTTAACCATACACCCACAGGTTCTGACCATGCCATACACAAACTTCTGCTTAAGGAATCAGCTGATATGTTGTCTTTGCTCGATTTGTATTGGATTGTAAAATCATATCCTAAGAACTTAGGCAACCACTGCTGTTGTTCAGGAGTTTGTAAAGATTGATCCAGAAGTTCCTTTAAACTTTTTTGATCAGTTCTAATTATAAATTTGTGTCCCAACAGATAATGTCTAAACTTAGCCAGAGATTCAGTAATAGCATAAAATTCTCAAATATAAGCAGATTGTTTTTGCATTCTTAAGGATAATTTCTTAGAAAAATAAGCAATAGGATGCAAGCCTTGACTCAACACAACTCCTATCCCAGTTCTTGATGCATCCGTTTCCAAAATGAATATTTCCTTGAAATTAGGAAGTGCCAATACTGGTGCAGAAATCATAGCTTCCTTAAGTTTATCAAATGCCAAAGTGGCCTCCTCAGTCCATATAAAAGCATCCTTTTTTAGTAAATCAGTCAAAGGAGCAGCAAGCATAACATAATTCTTGACAAATCTTCTATAGTATCCTGTAAGCCCCAGGAATCCCCTTAATTGCTTAATGTTCTTAGGCTGAACCCAATTTTTAACTGCTGCCAATTTGGAATTATCCGTAGCAACTCCATCACCCGATAATGTATGACCCAAATACTCCACTTCCTTCACTCCAAAAGCACATTTAGATAATTTTGCATACAGCTGATGCTGTTTCAAGATTCTTAAAACTATCTCCAAATGATACAAATGATCCTTCCAATTACAACTATATACCAGAATATCATCAAAGAACACCAGCACAAATCTCCTCAACAGCCCTTTAAAAACCTCATTCATCAAACTCTGAAATGTAGCAGGGGCATTCGTTAATCCAAATGGCATCACTAGCCATTCATAACGTCCGTGATGTGTTCTAAAAGCAGTTTTAAATCTGTCTTCTGGATTTAACAAAATCTGATGGTAACCGGATCTTAAATCCAATTTAGAGAAGAAAGAAGCACCAAACAATTAATCTATTAACTCATCCACAATAGGTATAGGAAAAGTGTCCTTGATAGTAATTGCATTGAGAGCCCTATAATCCGTACAAACCCTCCATGAACCATCTTTCTTTTTGACTAAAATAATAGGTGATGAGAAAGGACTCTTACTAGGTTGAATGATTCCTTCTATTAACATATCCTCAACCAATCTTTCAATCTCCTCCTTTTGACTATGAGAATACCTATAAGGCTTAACTTTTACAGGCATAAATCCTTCAATCAAAGGAATAGAATGATCATGGGCTCTTGTAGGTGGTAATGAAGTAGGTGTATCAAAAACAGAACTATAAGTTCGCAGCAATAAAGCTAACTCTAGTGCCACTGTCTCTAGTAATTTTAACAGAGTCTCGTGACTAGTATCAGATTCAACAACTTGTAAGCTAAAAATTTTTGCAATAGAATCAACATGTACCATTCTCCTTATGGAATGCAAATGTGCTTGTATAGGTAATTTTTTAGTATCCCCTTGTAAGGTAGTAAACTGTCCTTGATGTAAAAACTTCAACTGTAAGGCCTCATAATCTGCTATATATGGACCAATGATCTTCAACCAACTGGCTCCTAAAATTAAATCTGCCCCTGACACAGGTAGGAGAAATACGGGAAGATGGAAAACACTCCCCTGGGATGAAACAGTCAAGTCTCTAATCATTCCCTCCGCTGTCATATAATTCCCATTACCTACCATAACTCTGAACAAAGGTGTTGGTTCCACTGGCAACTCCAAAAATTTAGCCACCCTAGGTTGTAAGAAATTATCTGAACTACCTCCATCAACTAGAACTTTGATTGGAAATCCATTAATAGTGGCCATAAAACGAATAGTACCAACTCCCTGCCCCCTTTTTAAGGCATTTAAGGACAAATGATGATCCACCTCAATACCTCAATATTTTCAGACATACCTTCCTGTTGTCCTCCATTTTGCACATCATTACCATCAATAACACCTCCTCCATTTGCAACAACAAATATTGCCTATTAGGGCACTTGTGGTTAAAAGTAAACTTGTCATCGCAGAAATAACAAAGACCTTTTTCTCTTCTCAACTGCATCTCAACTGGTGTTATTTTCTTAACAGCATTGTTTTTGGAAGGAGGCAATGTAGGAGTAGGAAGCAATGGAGGTAAATTTTGCTTAACAATTGATCTATTACTTGTATTTCTAGAAGTACTAGAATACACAGTAGAGTATCTATGATTGTAACTTGTGTTTTTATGCCCATTATCTGGAACGTATTTTTCCTCATACAACTTAGCGAGTGCTACTGCTCGAATCACAAATCCAGGACATAGAGCCATTACATATCTCCGAATATCCTTGTTCAACCCACCAATGAAGCATTTTAAAAGTGCTTCAGGTGAAAGTCCTCCTGATCTGTTAGCTAACGCCATGAATTTCAGGTAATAATCAGAAACCGTACTTGTTTGCTGTAACTTGAACAATTCAGTCATTGGACATTCAAATGGAGATGGTCCAAACTGAGACTCCAATGCCCTAGTGAGTTCTTGCCAAGTATTAACACTATTCAATCTTTGTAACATTTGAAACCAAGGTATAACCTCTTTTTCGAAGTGAATTGCAGCTATATCCACCCTATCCGCATCTGGAGTGTGATGATAATTGAAAAACTTCTCAGCTTTAAAAATCCATTCCAGAACTGGCGTATGTCCATCAAAGTGAGGAAAACCTAGAGAAATATCTTTGACATGGAATGCAGAAGTCGAAGATGTGACCAAAACATTATCGTTATTGGAGTTCTGACCACCAAAAGACTGAGATTGATTTTGAATCAACAAATCTATAGCTCTCTGCATCTGATCCATACGTTCTTGAGTTGCATTCTGCATTTGGTTTGTTAATTCGCGTTCAGTTTGATCACGAAACTCTATCATCTCCATTAAACGCCGAAGTTCTTCACCATGATTTGCCACTTGTATTTGTAAATCCCTCAATCGTGTACTCTCAGTCATTGATGACAATGAAAGCACCAATTGTAGCAGTAGAAATATGATATGAATGGAACAACCAATTCTTGTATTGCAAAGTTTACAAATCTGAAGCAAGAAGAAAGAAGAATTTAGAGTGAAGGGAATAAGAGAATCAGAAAGAGAGAAATCAGAGGAAGAACTCAATACCAGAAAAAACCTCCTTCCTCGCCCTCATTACTTGACTTATGGCCAACGTCTTTCGCACCTTTCGGAATGATTGACACGTGGTCAACTGTTTTAACTGATCCAGATGCCAATTTCTGACTGCTGCATGTTACATCTTCACAAGCTCCTTTTGGCATATTTCTTGGTCAAATTTAAAATAACTTGATGAAGAGCGAACACCACCACTCACTTTCCCTTCTACAGTTTGTGATGAAGAAGAATTTGATCTTTGCCTTTTAAGTCTTTTATTTGGACCTTCATCACATCTCATTAAATGTGTCTTCATAGCACTAGTTTGACTAGGATACCACAATAATTTCAAGTTGCCTTATGGTCTTCATCAGGATTTTTAGTGAAATGTTCTCATACCAATGATCAAGTACGCCTTAATGATGTGCTCAAATGAGGTGGTAATGTAGCATTAGTGGTAGGGGCATCTGGTTCTATCTCTGGCAAAGAAGGTTCCATTTAATTTTTTTCTCCCTTACAACTATCACACCAATAAATAAATAAATAAATAAGAACTTTTAATTTTCATAATAAAATCAAATATAAAAAGGTCATTTTACTTGAAATACTTGATTTATACTATAAAATTTACCTTAAAAAATACATAAATAAGGCTACATCTCTAGAGGGACTATAAAATTTATATTTGATTTATTTAATTTCACGTTTTTTTAATCAATATGGCTTGCAATGCAAAGTTATAATTTTTTTATATAATATATTAGCAATACGAATCATAGTCCACTCCGTATAATGATCAACTTACAATATAGATTAAAACCAACTACGAATTGAAACTAACTACACTAATCCTAGAAAAAAGAAAAGAAATGTGGTCAAAAAATAAGTGCCCAGCAATCGCGTGCACGGAAGCCATATGCGCGGGCAGAAAGTGCTTATAAAGTGCAAGTATGAAATTTCTGACCCTTGTGAAGGTACTTATTTCTCGTATTTATAGAATTTAATTGAGAACGGTTAATCCTTTGCAAGTACATCGTGGATGAGTAACTGCTGTCCACTACTCTCAATGACGTGTAATTTCTCAACCGTTCACCCACATTCTTCAACTCTAATCTTCAAACCTTTGTCCAAATAACTACTTTGGTACAACTGCTCAAAAACCACCCATAACTCCTTCTTTGCGTTCTCGATCAATCTTCAAACAAGATTTTTGGTAACTACCTTAGTGTAACTGCTTAACTACTCATAGAATCCTTCACCTCTTACATTTTTCGACCAATTCTCGAGTTCGTACATTTAAGGCTTTTAATACTTTCTTGGCAGGTACCTATTTGTTTGTCTTTCTTTCGAGTAGCTTAAAAAGTGTAACTTTCGAGTGATATAGTTCTCGAGTAGCCCCAACAATATTTTATCACGTTAATTAATACGTGTATAAATAGTTGATGGATAAGAAGTAAATTAGAATTTTACAAAATTAATTTTGAAGTTAAAGTTTCCTGCTTATAAACACTATTTGTTAGTGAAATGAATAGACACAGTTAAATTCGAACACGCGGTATCCTTTTGAAACAGATCTAATTTCAATTAGAAAAAAAT